ACTGAGTATGGATTGAACAAATAACAACGAATACAAATAAAAGTTAGCGATATGAATACATTAGTGATACTCCTGTTTCATTTAACGAAATGTTGAAGGTGAGATAATTATGGAAATCGGTGCAATGGATAATGAACATATTATATGCATCAATAGTTCTACATAGTGCAGGGAGAGAAGAGAAAGGCTGCAATGTGTAATGTTCTACCACCTTTTTATTGCTTTACCGGGTGCGAAAAGCTTTTTGAGGAAAGGAAAACAGAAGTTTTTGAAATTTTGAAGAAAAAAAAAAACCGAACTTCAAATTTCTCTTTGCCAAAAAGGGACACTTATTGATGTATTAAACATAGGATCACCAACGGCACTGCATTTGAGGCACTGAGGGCCAAGATAATGAGGAGTACAGGTATCTACAGTACCAATTTACCTCTACTCGTCACTACAGATAACTGACTACCCATACTACGAGTATTCGTGTATGGGGCAGGAGTGGAAGGAAGTAATAGGCGCAGGCCATTTCAATATGGGAGTAAGACGGAGACTTCCACAATCTCAATACGGGATGACCACAGAATAGAAATCAAAGAGAAAAGGACATAAATTTTATTATTGTTTACAATAACATCGAAAGACAAGGGAGAGGGCAATAAATAAAATAGGTTGTTTCCAAAGTCAAATATAAAAATATATTTTTGAAAATAGTCGAAGATATTTAAAATTCTTTTAATTCGGGAGACTTAAATAACATAGTTTTGTCAGAAGTGCTGCTACTCACTGCTTTACTCAACATAGTCTTAAGTGTCAGTTGTAGACTTAATGGTTGTCAGATTCGTTTTGAAGAAATCAAAAGAAACAAAATCTTATCACGGACTGATTCGTGGAAAACTTCATTCAAACTTTTCATCATCGTCAAATCAATTCCCATCAATGAATATTAAGAAAACACTATCTTTATGAACAAAAATGAAAAAGTACTCTTTATTCTACGACACCACGTTCCAGTCTACTCACTCTAATTCGCCGAAAAAAGTACAAATTTTGAGCAGGCCTTCTTCAAACTTAAGAGTCTTTTGTTTCTATAAATATAAAAACAAAATCTTTAACATATAAAGGTTTATTTAAGAACAGGTTTATGAATCAACAAAACGGACAACTTCCAAATCAATTACAATTTTCTTTTGGTAAAATCGTTGCAGCCTTAGCCCCCTCTTGTTTATACTAGTTGCTTATTAGTGCTTATTATTAAGTGCTGGACTCTGCCCTAAAACGAGCAAAACAGAAAATGAGGCCATACCACCTCGGATTTAGGAATCTACAGTGTACCGTGCTTGCTTTTGCTGACGATATGGTGGTATTCCGAAATGACTGCCGTAATCTGCAGTTTAACCTCAAGATTCTTCAAGCTGAGTTGAGGAATATAAACATGGAAATTAACATCTCCAAAACAAAATTTATGAGGATTGGAAGAAGAGGAGACCGGATCGTTCGGCTGGGTAGAATCCGCCTGGAGCAAGTAATGGATTTTAAATACCTGGGTACTCACCTCAACGAGTAAGGGTGGGTTGATGGAGACATAAAGGACTGAATTAAGATGGCAGGAAAATGCTTCTACTCCCTCAAGTCAGGCTTCTTGGACAAGAGGGAAGTCTCAAAGGGTACTAAGAAGATTGTCTTCAAGAATACCTTCCTCCCTATATTAACATATGCAAGCGAGTCTTGGACCCTCACTTCTAAGCACAAAACTCAAATCCAAGTTATGGAAATAAAATATTTAAGGAAAATAGATGGGAAAACGAGAAGAGATCGCGTTAGGAATGTGACCATAAGGGCTAATCTGGACCTGAGACCTGCAGAGGAAATAATCCAAGAAAACCAACTTAGGTGATTTGGACATGTCTCGCGAATGGCTGAAAACAGAGTTGCCAGGGCTACCTACGAGGTCAAAGTGAAGGAAGGCAGCCAAAGGGGAGACCAAGAAAAAGATGGGAAGAAGGAATTAAGGAAGCCTTTGACAGGAAAGGAATGGACTGGAGTAGAAGACAGCTGGTCCAGGATGGAGATTCTTGGATCAAGCTCTATAAGAAGGAACCTCACACTGCGCAGCGGTAACAAAGAGGACTGGATTAAGTAAGTAAAATCGTTGTTGAATACGCTTAGTATATAGTGTATTTTAATTTTCAGAACAGCTTAAAAATTATCGTAAGGTATTTACGACGTTTCTGTTAAAATAACTGTCAATTTCTTTGATGCTGTCGTATTTTAATCGGTTTGACTTCTGTCCGCTAATTGGTCTGTGGTCGTCTGAGAAAGTTCTTACACAAATGAACTTTTATAGTTAGAATTGTGCATCGAGCGAATACTCTACAATGGAGAACCACAGATCCTCAATGGTGTGGTGTCTTCTTGGCTAAGACACATCCAATATGACATGCAGTTGTTCACATAGGTAAAAGATCGGCACAGATTGAAGATGGGCCTTCCCTACTATAGATCCTGGGAAAAAAATAAGAATATGTCTCTAAAACCTATTCAATTAAAACAAAAACAAAAAAAACAACAAAAAATGGGTAATACGAATTAAATCATATAACTACCAATACTATAATGTGGCAATATAGGTTATAGACTTTTTCAATTTTTCTTTTCACCATAGAAAGGAGATATTTTTGGTATTCGAAAACTTTGACAGGTATCTTCCCCCCTTAATTTACCTAGCTCTTAAATTACAAATTGTTGATTCCTTATGGCTCGGGGATCTGAATACTTCATAAATATAAATCAGTTGGCTCTTTAAGGTTTATTAATTACATAGTTCTGTCTGTTCAAGTACTTGTTAAAAAAGTTTATTATACCCAAAATTCAGTAAAAATGTATTAAATAGTACATCAATTATATAAAAGTAAAAAAATAATAAAATATATTTTGATTAATTGGCATATACTCAGAATAATCACTAAATTTTCCTTTGAAAAACCTTCTTATTAGTATCTACTAAAACTAATTAATGTTACACCTCATTTTTTTTTTCGGTAATAAAATAAAATAATTTAAACTGCTGCTTATATTAAATAATCATTTATGAGGTTCTAAACATGGATGAGAACATCCTGAAACTACTCACCAACATCATGTGACCAATCTCTATCAAAAACTAATCCAAATAAAAAATTGAGCCTATGTTAAAAAATGAACAAATCACAAACCGATAAATTTCAGATTTACAAAAACTAATAACAAATAATACACTAATTTAAAAATAAAAATTACAATATTTCGTATGCTAGTAAACAATGGAAACTAATTTAAAAAAATGTTATTAATTGATACATCACTTTTGTTCATAAACAATAAAATTAATCCATATCTAGTCTTGCATGAAGTTAGAATATCATATAGCAATGAAAAATGATTATATGATATTAGATTTTTTTTTTTACAAACAGCACAAAAAAAGAGGCACAACAATACCATACAAATTAAAAAAATTCTATTTATTAAAATGAATATTAATAACAACGAAAACGAATAATATTGCAACGTAATAGAGTTTTTCTATCCTACTAAATAAAAAAAAACTATAATCAGAAAAATTGATAGCGTAATGATTATACTTTTTAATTTACTTATTAAGCATTTATTCATCTTTGATTAAGCACTTTATGATATATAGGGCTCTACTAAAGGGCTAAACTTAATGAGCTTAATTAGCAGGTGAATAATTTTAAGACACATTTAAAAACTATCTTTTCCTTCATTTTTAAAAAATATAGATAGGTAACAAAAAATCTAAAAATGTTGACTACAGATCTAAAAATATTGTCAGCAACATTGTACAAATTATCATCCTGATTATACATAACATATTAAAATATTACATTAAACAAGTAAACTTAAATTCCAGCCAGTTAAGGAAACTTTAATACTTCAACTAAATTCTAGATAAATATAATTGAAATTATAAACCTCAAGTACATAACAATAGCATAAAAAATATACCCTTCAGCAAACAAACATATAATTTTACTAGTTGTATATATATATATTTAGAAAAGGACCTGAGTTACTTATATATCCTTTTTCATTAAAAACCTAATCCATATCTATTAAAACTGTCTTCCCTTAATAATAAATAATACTCAGAATTGAGCAGAAGGTAGTAATATCATAAAAATAAATTGTTAAATACATGTTCAAACAAATGAATCAGTATGTCACAGATTAATTTAAATAAAATATGAAAAACAAATCAATAATATTTGAAAATTCCAAGAAACTTCCATTGACAGCACAACTGTCAAAGGGCGTGTTAAATTAAAAACAAATCATTTAAATAAAATGTCATCTTTAACAATTTACTCCGTTATCTACATAAATTAGAGTACATTTGAGTTTGAAAAACAAGCTATCAATATATAAGTAGGGAAGAATTTATGTTTCTACACGGGAAACGAGACTAAAAATCTATACCGAATACTTCAATAATGACAACAATAATAATTCATTCCTAGATTACACCAAGACCAAAAAATATGAGCTAAATGGCAACAAATCTAAAAACATTAAGCCCTTACCTTGAATTCCCGGGAACACTGACTAAATTCTGACTTCGCTCAAAATAACCTTCAAAGTAACCTATCAAAATTCTAAACAAATCTTCGATTGCGCTAAAATAATCGATCTTTTACGATTTCTACATCATTTTACAATAATGTATAATTAGCTGATTGCAGAGCTACAAATTTACAATACTGCTGTTGTTCATTTCATCAAAGACATTAATATAAAAATCGATCAGTAAAATATATATATATATATATATGGAAGGAAAAATAAAGAAATAAAGAAAAGGTTATCTGTGTTTATCAAGTGAAAAGTTCTTCTTAAAACAGTAATAGAGTTCGATTTCAATAGGCTGTTATTTCAAACACTATTACGAATGTTAACTGTTAAAACTTCAATTACAATTTCGAAGGATAGTCTTTTGCCTCAAGCTGACCAGAATGACAAACGTTAAACTTCTTAATATTAATGTAGGGCTTCTCGGTCATGTGGATAGTGGTAAAACTTCGTTAGCCAAATGTTTAAGTCAGATTAATAGCACTGCTTGTTTCGACAAACATCCTCAATCCCAGGAACGTGGAATAACAATAGATTTAGGTTTCAGTTCTTTTAGTACAGAAGCATCAGAAAAATTTAAAATACAGGGCTATGAAAAGTTACAGTTTACTTTAGTTGATTGCCCAGGTCATGCATCATTAATTAGAACGATTATTGGAGGTACTTAATTTCACTATATTGCAAGTCTTCTTAAGGCAGCATTTTGATTGCCCTCCTTGCACTATTTGACCACTATCCCTCCACTCATTTATAAATTAGGTGAAATGAAGGTCAGTTTCATAATTAAGAAGAGCTAAATTAAAATTATGAGTTTTCTTTTTAGGTGTTCACATAATTGACCATGTAATATTGGTAATTGACATTACTAAAGGTATTCAAACTCAAACAGCAGAATGCCTGGTTATATCCGAAATAACAAATAAACCTACATTAGTTGTGTTAAACAAAACTGATTTAATTGATGCTTGCAAAAGAGATGAATTCATTAAAAAGGTTTGCTTAACATTATTTTGGTAATTTAATGTTTTTTAAATACCACACCTTAAATCGATAATATTTTTTCATTAGGTCTCAAATAAAATCAAGTCTACATTATCACAAACTATATTTCAAGATACACCAATACTACCAATTGTGTGTAAGGAAGATTATTCGGAAGAAAGAGGTTGTAAAAGGATGTTTATTTTAAATTATTTGTCATCTTAATAAGTTGATGTTTCATTAGTGGCTGCTAATTGAAATATTTAAGATCAATTGTATAGTATTAATGATTTATCAATTATACATCAATGATTTGATGACTAGTATTCAAATAGTTATTGAATGATTGACTTTTTCCCATAATTTAACTGGAAAATATTTTTTCTATTAAAAAAAAAAAATGAAAAAGTCCTTTAATTCATTTATTGTTGGTGTGATCAGTTGAAGCATCCCTTATAAATTGAAGGTAATTTGAGTGAGAACCCCCATTATCTGATTTCAAATTCTTATTCAACAATGCATCTCCCCACCAACAGAAAACTATACAACTGGTGTGAAAATGTAAATGATACTGGCTACTACAGAACCTATGTTTTGAAATAGCCTTGTTTGATGTTTAAAGCCTTACTAGATCCACATTTTGGATTTTCATAGGTTTTGTGATTAAAAAATCTCATGTTTTTCAATTGAGATCACAAATGCATATTTGAAAGGAAAGTAATTGTCAACAGTAGGTATTAAATTCAATAAACAAAAAATACCAATGTATTATATATGTTAGTGAAAACCATGAAGGTAATTGGATGTGATCTGAATGTACTGATATTTTTATGTGGAGAGTGAACCAATATGAAAAATATCACCCAACTTCACTTTACTACTGTTTTCAAACTAATCATTTACCCATTAGGTGATGAGTCCCTTTAGAGGTACCCATCCAGTTTATGTTTATTCAAATTCTGATCGATGATTTTAAAATGGCTGATCGACTTTAGCTAAGGAAATATTCATGGACTACTCCACCTTTGGGTAGTCACTTGGATTGATTTATCTTGAAACATCATGATTCCCAATCAAGATATATACTTAGGAGGAAATCCCTTATGAAATTGAATATTATTTTAACTTATAGGATACTATAGGACATCTGTGCAGATATTTATTAATATTGGAGCTTAAATGGGTCAGAATAGAACCAAAAGGAAGCTGAAAAAGCTTCATATCATATAAAATTAAATATCAGGTTGTGGGCGGGGTGGCCGAATGGGCTAATGCGTGTGCACTGCACCGCCATTGCCCGGCAACCTGATAAATGAATCAAAGATATAAAAATAGATAAGAGTTCGCGTCCCGGTGCCGGGGGAGTCTTTTAAATCCCCGCTCACACCCCCTGGCCCGAGAAAATCCCGTATAGCCTTAACGGCGAGGAAGGGAAGGACAAAAAAAAAAATGTTCTGGACAGGTTGAAGTTTATTTCAATTTAGGAAAGATTTATTTCTTCATATCAAGAATAAATTTCTAAAACTTATCAAGTATTAAAAACAAGCTAAATTAAGAAAATTAGATAAGTTAACTGACAACAATTAACTGGATTTTGTTTCGGTTAATACTGTTCAGGAAATAAGAAACAACATGAGAACCAACAGTTAATACTGACGTTCAGAATGTCTAAGGCAACACCCAGGTAATGAATTCAGAATTAATTTGGTCTTTTTAAAGAGAAAGTTACTATGGCAGAGGATTTCAGCCCTGCCATGTGGCTGAAAGCCTCTGCCGTAGAATGTTCAAAATTAATCAAAGAATGTCAATCAATAAGCAGATGTGGAAAATCATAATGAAGGAATCAAACCAAGAATTTACATATATAAAAATGTAAACCTGTAACAAAAATGAAAGGTATTTACCCATAACTTATACAAATTTTGAGGCAACAACTCAACATTTAAATCTCAAGGAAGAGAGATAATTACCTAAAACATTACAGTTATTAATGATATAGACAGTCTTTTGACTATAGGAAGACATATGGAGTATCTAATGATATGTCGTCTCTAGTTGATGTGAGATGTGCTGTATTTCGTCTGCATACATATGATATAGGTTTTTACTATCCTAATGAAACGTCGACTGGTTAATTATTATCTGTAAATTAGAGATTCAAGACTTTGTGTTTGAAATCTTACAGTTGTTTCCTAGCACTTAATTTTACATATTTTTTATATTGATTTTAGTAATTTACTTTAAATAATGATGGAATCATACAACTACTGTGGAAAAAAATTGATAAATCAAGTATCTATTCTTTTACTAGATTTTTAGGAAACTAAAGAGCGCCAAGACAATGATTAATAGTTTAATTTGTCTACAAAACTAGGCACAAGCAAAAACATGATTATTATTGAATTTTTTCTATGCAAAAGCAAAAGTCTATCCATTATTTTCAACTATATTTCAATGCTAGTATTATCACTTATTGTATTAGAAATATAATTTAACACGTCAGTGTGTATCTTGAATGAATATAGACACGATAGATTAGTTTTCTTCTTTTATAAGTTGAAAATAAAAGATATATATATATATAAAATTTGCTGATTTTATATATTTTTTCATCCTAACTTTTACTTTTGATTTCATTGGCTTTCAGTTTTATAAATAAATAAATTATCCTTTATTAGAGACATTATATTGACCAATTTCATGGTTTCTTGTATCTACAATCAGAGTCCTTGAAGTTTATTCCTAATAAAATTCCAAAGGCAAATGAGACAAATAACTGGTTTGCCTAAGGAAAAATTAAGTACCTCATTTAGTTATGATACCTAAATTTGGACTTATTAGATTAAAAAAAACTGAAGTATGTTACTTATTATACATTTATGTATGAAGACATTCTATTCCACTGTTCATATTATCTAATTCTTCTTGGTTAATCAAATTAAAAAATGTTTAAATATTTACAGGAATTAATAATTTAATAACAAAGCTTACAGAAGTCATTTCAGTTCCCTGTAGAAGTCCAACAAACTCCTTAGTTTTAGCTATAGATCATTGTTTTTCAATTAAGGGCAAAGGTACTGTTATAACTGGTACTGTTTTGCAAGGAAAAATTAGCATAAATGATGTAAGTATAACTTTCTCTATTCTTTTTACAGTAATTAATCATACAATATTAATTCCTCCTGTCTAATTCATGAATTGATTACAGATTATTGAAATACCAGGTTTGCAAGAAACGAAAAAAGTTAAATCCATCCAGATGTTTAAACAAGATGTTAACACAGCTGTACAAGGTGATCGAATCGGTACTTGTGTAACACATTTCAATCCCAAGCAGTTGGAAAGAGGTGTAGCCTGTAAGCCAGGATCCATGCATCTTGTGCATGGTGTAATAATTAACTTTAATAAAGTAAAATACTACAAAAACACTATAAAATCAAGTACCAAATATCATGTCAGTGTGGGTTATGAAACTTTAATTGGTAAATTGTTATTATTTCAAAGTGAAGACAATTCCAATTTTAACTTAGAAAATGAATACCTTTATATAGAGGAGTTTAATGAGGAAATGTCCATAAAAATCTTTGCTCTGCTGGAGTTTGAGAAATCTATTTATTTGCCTCCCAACAGTATGATAATTTGCTCTAAACTTGATACAAACATCAACTGTAATACTTGCAGAATATCATTTTTTGGAAATGTTGTTTATGAAATTTCAGATAAACGATATCCTGAAACATTTCTGCCGAAACTTAAAATTTATAAAGTAAAAACAAAAACAGGTTATGTGCAAAATTTAATTAATGAAAATGAAATCATTGCTAGCAAATTGTTTCAAAAAATAACATCAGCACAAAAATTTCTTAACATGAAGATAAAGTTGTCCACTGGAGAAATAGGATACATTGAAAGTACTTTTGGACAAAAGGATAAAACACGGATCAGAATACCTGAAGGTTTACAGCCGTCAACCTTTGAATATCTATCCACTATTAAAAAAGGGAAGAAAAACAAAACAAAAAGAGAAAATGAGCCATCATTGAATGAAAACAAACCAAAACAGGATTCTGTTACTGTAAGGTTAGAATTCAGGCGATACTTGTTTGACAAAAACAAAACAATTACTCCCCATACTTAATAGAGTGATTTTAAATTTTAAAAAACTAATCATTGTATTTTAGTTTGCAATCGTTAAGACAACATTTATATTACTTTGAAAAAAAGTTCTATTTGTAAATAAAATTTTATTTTTTTAGTTCAAAAGGTATTTGGAAATATATACAAAATTATCTTGCAAGGATTTCCTATACTTCCTTTTCATAAAACTGATAATGAGGTTATTGGTGCTGGTTCTAATATTTCCTAGAAGTTTGTGGTAACTTAGATTTTAAGTTTGTAGTGGAACCATTGAATTAGTTTATAGGTTCTTCTTAGCTGGTCTTGAAAAGGAAGATAACCTGTTGGATAATCCACACTTCCCGAGATGGTACATGAGTGCATAATGGTGTTAAAACCAATTACAAGTTTAAAGGAAATTAAAATTAAAAAAGATATAATGGTTGAAAAAAATTATATTTTTTAATTTTATATCAAAATATAGATTAAAAAAAAAATAATAGGTTTAATTACCATCATAAGTTTTAATATGAATATAAATAGCCAAGCATGAATTATAGAAGTTTTTAATTATCATTTCTCTCGACTTCTACATATTTAAGATTTTTTCTGCTTTTGACTACATTTAGTGCTAGTACATAAATATTATAATTCCATTAATTTCTAATATACATATATTATACTACACAAAAATTCAATACCATTTAAATAAAACTGAAAATCTTTTTTTTTTAATATTACTTCATTAATTATGTTAAGACTTATGACTTATTTATTCTTGATATCTGAAACATAATTACACTTAATCATTAACAGCTATTTCAAAGCAATATAAAATTTAGGCGCTTCAAATAGGACTAGATAATGTCAAATAAAATCTCTTCAACGTGTATATTCATAGGAGTTAAAAGTATCAAAGTTTTCATCTAATCTTAGATTCTAAGATTAAAAATAAAATGATAAATTTATTGTTATATACCAGAAATTATAGTCTCATACCTATACTATAGAAATTATTTTTCTATAGCCAACATAAAAACAAACAAAAGAAAATTACTACAAGAAATAAAACATAAACTAAAAAAAATATCAGGATATAAGTGGCACTTTCATATATTGCCGGACTAAAGAAATATCTTGTAAATATACTATTTACAATTTTTTTAGAATGGCTTACAAATAGATTTAAAATATACGGTTAAATCCTAAATAAATATAATAAGATAGGCAAGTCATTAAACCTAAAAAAAACTAGTCCATAAAAATACTTAATATTTATTACAATAAATTTCTTTATTACTCTTCAAATAATTTAACAACCGTGAATGAAATAATAAAAAAATCATCAACTAAAAGTTAACAAAACATTATGGCTAGTATGAAAGCCATCTCACATGCAGAATATACCACTTTCAAATCAATGTATTAATATACTTTTAAATCACTAAAAATTAAATCTTTAATATTAAACATAAAAACAAATTAAATAATAACCAAGATACTTATACCTTTAATATACATAGAACCTGAATATTGTTATGGAATTAAAATCAAATATTTTATTTTTTAAATTTAAACATAGAAATGATGATATTTTTCTTACTGAAACTAATTAGGCTGGAGAGCAAATTGGCAACAAAATAGCTGAGCCAAATTATTTGGACCAGATGATAAGAATGAAACACCTCAATCCGAGAAAGACTCAAGAGACATCAAATACCAAAACTCTTGTAATTTTTCTGATTAGTAATACTAAACTAGTTAATTTTTATAACAGCTATTTGAATGAATGAAGATTAACTTCAATGTAAAGCAAAAATTGGAGATATATAAAATAATAAATAATTAATACAAATAGTATTTCAATCAAAAATAATATTCAAGTGTTAGATTATTACCATTTTAAATTAATATAAGATTACTTCAGCTTTGAATTTATAAATGTTCAGCACAAATTTTAAAATAGTATCAATATCATAGTGTTGTAAAAAATTAAAAACATTTGTCAAACCAATCCTCATTGATAACTAATTAAACCAAATTGGTTATCAAGGTGCCAAATGACTATAAATTTATTTTCCTCACTGTTTTTAAAAAAATATATGAAACGTAAGTTCTCATAAAAATCTGTATACTCCAAAATAAATTACAGGAAACATTTTCTTCATTTTAATTATTTCTTTAAATACTATTAATTATCTTATAGTTGATTCAATAATTAATAACTGATGTAGAGCTCAGTGCCTAAATATGCTTCCACCAAGCAAACTCAAGAAACACCATACAATACCACAAGACAAAAACTGTACTAACACTAGTAATCCAACTCTTTTATTTTAAAGATATACATTTATTTCTGACACTAGGATACTTAGTGATATCAGTAAAACATTTGGTTTCTGCATTAGTACAACAAGGCAACATAAATTTATACTAAGGAGCTTTTTTTTCTTTACACTAGCTGCTTCTTTAACTTTAATTTATTTCGATTCCTCATAAATTAAAATAAGGAAAACAATATCAAATAGAGATAAATCATAAGGATTTGTTGGACAAAAGCATCATGACTACTGAGTATTTCCTGGTACCCTTTTGTATCATAAATAAGATGAAAATACTAATAGTAATACTGATTAATTTGTTTTCAGTAGAGATTGTGGAATAAAATAACATAACAATATCTCTTTATACATAAGTATATCACAAAAACACTTAAAATATTGCACTGATAAGTAATCTTTGAATCATTTGTACTAAACTAATCTATTATTCTTAAATAAATGAATAAACATTTTCTATTTTAATTAACAAAATATACTAAGTATTCAAAATGGCAAGAAATACATCCTTAAAAGATAATTTTATAAATTTAAAATAAGAGATCATTATGTTAAAACAATAAAACCCTAACATCCCTCAAACTAAAAAGAAAATAAACATCACAGAATATAATCACCAAAACCTTACTTTTCAAAATTAGTTTGAAAAATATCCTAGACTTGAAACATTAATTGCATCTTTTTAAGATCAACAAAATCAGAATATATGCTAACTAAAAAATACAAATTAACACTGTGAAATAGCATATTTGTGCTTTTTACAAATATCTTTGGTTTAATAAAGACTGGGCTTATCTTTCACTTTACAGTATTTGAAATAAAAGAATGACAATGATCAATAAAAATGTTAACACGAAGATAACAATCCACTGTCTTCGATCTGAAATAATACATTAATAATATTAAATAAAGCTCATTAACATATTTAAGTGATAAATACCAAAGTATAAAAACTTGTTTATCATTTAAATTAAATAAGCCTAAAGTAAAAAATAACTATTATCAAAACTGAATGGTGAAAGAATTTCAGATGGAATAAATCCTAAAAATGATATAGTTATTCAATAATACTAAATAGTTAAAATATATATTAAGAGAGATATAGCAATACTATCAACAGCTGAATTATTAGATTTGTGATTAGAAGAAAATTAATGAATAAAAAAAACAAACAAAAGGATTAATAATTTAAGACAATAAAAATTTTATGATAATCTAATGGTAATCATGCTTTAACAGAAGAAAATGTTAATAATCAAAAGCTCATAACAATTAATAAATCAAATTAGGAACTGTTAACTCATGACAGAAACAATATCATCTTAGTTACAGCTTAAAATGAATCCAATGCAATGCGAAATTAAAATGAGAACACACAGAGTGAGATAGTTGGTAACAAGAATAGGAAAATATCTCAAGATATTGATTAATTATGGATGGAAATAATTAAAATATGTAATAATAAGAAGGCTGGAGAAATGGGGAGGTTTAGTTTCATTAATATCAACATAGTTCCCTCCAAATTGATTCTATTATCACATCAGGCCTAGCAAAATCCTATCATATCGTTAAAACCAATAATCAAACAATAGAAATAGAGACTTCGTAATTGATGCCACATCTAACTCATTTTGACTTAAAAGAAAATCAACAATGGCCAATATTACATTTTGACAGGTTATAAAATGTAACAGTATAAGAAAATCATTAAATACCACAGTAAATACAATTATAACTAAACTGAGTAACTCTAAAATAGATATTGAGTCCAGTGCTTTTGCATAGGTAGAGATAAATGTAATTCAATAGATATTGAATTGAATACATGTTTTCAAAATATGTCTCAATCCATCCTTTCAAACTCATTGCAGTGTGAGGAGAACAAAAAAGATATGAGATAATAACCGAAAATAACTTTAAATGGTATTTATTTTTTTTTTACATCTGCAAGCCTAACAAGTTAAAACAGAGTAAAAAAGAAAACTGCACAATTGAAAGCCAACATACAATAATGTTTTTTTATCTTCATTTCAAATTAACTTGTAAGTACAGCAATTAGCTTCATTTTAAATAGTATGTACCTTTATAAATTACATATTAAAATATCTTAAACAATTCTACAGACCAGAGAGAATTCAATTTGTATTTCCCCTCAATGTATTTCACGAGGTAAAATGAGATAACTTAAGCAGGAAACTTTAAATTAAAGTATTTCCTCCAAGAGAATTAATTGTTTCAAACCTAAAATAAGTCATATCTTTTTTAAATAAAAATTCAAAACGGTCTGACAAAACTATATCAACACTATGAGTTTTTATTATTTTTTAATAACATAGAAACAGCTAAAACTTTTTGTTTTATTTGTTGGCCCAACTTTCTTGGAAGTCCGATACTAGAAGTTAAATGCTTTTAATGTATATTAATCTCAGATAAATGAAGTGTTGACAAGTGATAAGAAAGTTATAAAAACATCAGATAATCTATTAAAAAACACGGCAGAATTACAAATGTTTATCTTTATATAAATAATATCTAACAGTATCAACTTAATGAACAACTTACCATTCGAAAGATGTAATACTTTCGCCATTTTCTTCATTGTTGAATCTAATTTTGAGTCTGTATTCTCTAATTCTGATCCAAACTCATCAAGCATCCTGCACCAAAATACTTTAGCAATAAATAATTTTAATAAGATATACAATTATCAAAATTTACTTACACAGCCTGTTCATCCAACTCGCTACCAATCTGCCTTGATACAGTTTTCAAAGAACCAAGGGAATGTGAAATCATATCTAAATGATCGTCTTGCGACTGTAAAAGATGATTCTGTTGAGATAATGCAGAATCTAAAAAATGTCGGTTTGGTGAATCCATCTCATTTTCCAGTTTAGAATATTTTGTAGTCCCATGGCTAGTAGCTCCACGCACAGGGCTACTCTCCAATAAAGGCTGAAATGATTATCTATGATATAATAGAAGCACTATGTTTTAAGTACAAATATAAACAAATCTACATGAACAAACCTGTCGAGATGTTCTGTCACGATCTCTTCCTCTGCTATAATTCATTTTGTCTTTCATATGCTAAAATATAAAAGTAGTATTAAAAAAATGTATTGTCTTAAATTGCAAACAATATTTCATCATTTGTATGGTAAAATATACAGTAAATGTTAAAAAGAACATCCTGTTTTTCACATACAAAAAGGTTCTGGTGTAATAGACTGATTCTAAAATGAATTGAAACCTTTATTTTTATAATGTTTTAATAAATAAATTTTAAAAAAAAAACTCCAACTTAATTTTTCATGGTACAATTTCTGAAAAATCAGCTGAGCATACAAATTTAATATTTACAAAATTATCACCCAATAAAAAAATATGAACCATTATCTATTACAAAAAATATAATTACAACAGTGTACTTACCTACATATATTTCATGCTTAACTAGAACATAGTTTACATTTGAACTTCTTTAATTATTTGAACAATATTAATTTTTAATAAAACATACCTTAACTTCTTCTCGGGTTTGATCTATGAAATGTCTTCTACTAGTCAATTCCTTGTTATCAATCTTGAACTTAGATTGATTTTTCTCCACGATAAGTAGTTATTATTAAGGAATAAAATTATCAATGTAATACATGAGATTCATGTTTGAAAAAATGAGTCACAAACATTATCCAATAAATATGAACAACAAAGTTCAGCAATTAATATCAAGAGAAGATTTACTAGTAAAACATTGATTAAAAAACAAAACAAAATACTTCTAATCTTAATTCCTCAAGGTTGTCAAAGGATATCAATTGTGTCATCTAAATCTTCCAGATCCCACTCGATACTTCTGAGAGAATTTCTTAGCTCTGTTGTGGTCCATTCCAATTCATCTTTAGAAATATTGCTCCTAATATCTTCTTGTAGTTCTAACCAACGTCTAAACAGGCTTCTTGTTTTATTTAAAGCTTTTGAGACTTCTCTACAAAATATAGTGGCTAATAATATGTAATCAGCTGCATATCTTTATCAATCAACTACAATACCCTAAATTTCAGTCCTACTACTAGTTAAAAATTAACCCAAAGTAAACAAATCAGTTTTACAAACTTACTCCTTGACAACAAAAAAAGGATCTTCAAATGTCATGACCACCTTTTCTTTAATATGTATTAATGAGCCGTGAAAATCTTCACGCCTAAATTATACATGAAAACAGCTAAATTCGTTTTAACTGCCACTCAAACCTTAACAGACCCTTATCAGCATTTTAAGTTGATCTTAACTAAAACTGCTTTCAGGATCACGACCCTGATAGAGTATCAGCTAACATCTGATAGCTATGGCCTTCTGTATTATTTCCATGGATTGAGCTTGAAGTGAATGTTTGCACACATTCGGGACAGACAATGTTAAAAATAAATAAATAAATAGCTAAAATGCTAATAAGTTTTTTCTCAATTAATGTGAAAACAAGTTTCTAAATTAAAAAAAAAAACTTTACATAAGCAACTGAATAACATATATAAATATGTTCTACACAAATTAACTTTTTTTAAAAAAAAAGAGGTAGTTTCTTGCAAGACTAGACTAACCGTTGCTTTGATGAAGACCCTCATGCCTGGTTCGAAACGTCGGCAATAAAATATATCTACATATATTGCAAATCCTATTTTACATCTCTATAATTTTAATTTTAGAGGGCATTACTAAATGATAAGCTGAATACAAGAGTTTTAAGAAAAAATGTAAACGCTTAAGTGACATAAAATACCTCAAAGTTTTAAAATTGTTCCTGGAGAGCCTGAACCCAGGGAATACGTCCAAGCAGTGTTGCTGGTAGTCAGTGTCCAATCCTCTTATTAGAACTATTTCTCACCTTACCAAAATATATTTCAAATCCATGAAACATTCACCTAAATTTTAAAAAATTGAAAATTAAGAAAATAGTTTTGTTGTACCAGTAGCCGACATTGTTTCATTTGGAATGTTCCTATAACTGACACTAGCGGATCCAGGACTTAATTTTTTTTGGGGAGGAGGGTTTCAGAAATTTGAACAAAAATTATTTTCTGACCATGTAGGGCTATTACAAAATTTTTAAATTGAATTTTTAGCGGAGCTAAAGCTAAAACATTACAGCTAAAAAATCAGAAATACCATTAAAATACCAAAAACCCTATTTATTATATCACCGGATGATTATGGATTGTACGACTATTAGTTATTAAGGTACAGTAAATATATTCAAGGTTATAAACCTATCTATGAAATATTTTTATATTTCACTTCTTCTTTCATACAAGTATAATGAAATAGTAGTGGATATTGTTGGTATATCACAAAGGGAAGATTTATCAAATTATTCACTAATTTAATTTTTTAAAAAGATAGATGACAATGTTTCGGAATAAACGGACGTTGATACCTAATTATTTAAATATAATATCGGATCAAGGATTATTAAACTACAGTAAATGTATTTCAGGTTACAAACATATGCTTTATACATCCATGAAATGATTTTATATTTTACTTCTTCTTTCACACAAGTGCAATGAAATAGTTTTGTGAACAATGGCATTGCCTTGATCATGTGGATTTTAAATACTTTTATAAAACTTAAACATTTTTAAAAGTTTACATTTAGTAAGTAAATTTCATTTAATTTCCTTGAAAACATGTGATTTACGTTAAATAGCATTAGTTTTTCAAAATTATTATTTATAACATTTTTTACACTCTCCGTTACCTTCTACAACTTTCTATATTAGATATTGGTTTTTTCTAAAAATCTCCGCTTTCCCACGATATATATTATACGTATACATTCTTACAAATATTTCCGGAGATTCATTTTCGACCTGGATAAGCATTTTAATTTTTTTCTTTTTTATTCAATTATCAAATTCTTTCAAAAGTTATATTTAGCATTTTTTCGTAACTCTAAATAATATGAGATGATTAGTTACTCAAATGAACCATATTAAAGGTACTTTAGAGGAAGACGCACATGAACATTGGTCATTTAAGCCCTGTATAGTGACATCAACGGTGATAAGACCTAAATTATATTAAAGACCACTTAATTATACAATGATACACCGAGTTTAATCCAAATCATTAGACCCGTTTTTGAGAAAATCGTAAAAATTTGTTTCAGCGTTGATATGAAGTGGCACTTCCAGTTTTCCAATTTTAAGGAAAAGGTTGCAGCGACATATAAGGCCTATGCCTATCTTAAATACATAATATCAGTATTGTACGACTTTTCGTTTTCGAGGTAGAGTGTTCAAATACACACAGACACACAAACAAACAGACCATTTTTCGGGACTTGGTTATTTGGACTCAGGGTTCCTCAAAAAGTGTATTTCCGTTGAAAACTTATACTCAAAATTTTCACGATCGCAATACTCACTATATATTACATACATAGGTAAGTGAAAGTAAACATATGAAAGTTTTTAAATATGGAGGGAAAAAAAAATGTTCTGCATTTAACTAATCTAAAGAATATATGTATAATAAATATAACTCTCAATTAATTTTAGTTTTTTTTAGGGTACTCTTTCTCATTTATCCCTGCATTGAGTCTTCTTGGCATCGATTACACGAGCTCTTTGATCCCCTCCGGTCCAATTACCTCCTAAACTTTTTAAATATTGTTTATTAAATTATTCCGAGAGGAACAAGAATATTTTTGGATTTTCCAGTTGCACCCATAAATTTTCAATTGCAATAAGGTCCGGTGATTGTGCGAGTATTTTAAGCATTTTGCGAACATTGTATAGCAATCAGTATTTGGTTTAATTGGGATCGTTGTCCTGCTGAAAAATATAAGTGCCTTCCATTACTAACTTTTGTAAACTTTTATTTAAATTGCATCCTAACACGTCCACATATTTTATTTTTATTTATTTTTACATATTTATTTTATATATATATATATTTGCAGTTTGGTCACTTAATCCGGAAACACCCTGTATGTATATATATATATATATTCCTGTATAAATATATATATATATATATATATATATATATATATATATATATATACATACAGGGTGTTTCCGGATTAAGTGATCAAACTGCAAAAATCAACCAGGACCTCACAACAGGAAAAAATCTCTGAATGTATGTTCGCAAACCCTATCTTTAGGAGATATTCACACCGAAAGATTTTCGTTGTTATGAATTATTTACATTATATGAAATAAATAAAATTGTACTGGTGTGAAAGAAGAAGTGAAATATAAAAATATTTCACGGATACGTTTATAACCTTAAATATATTTACTGTAGTTTAATAACTCTAGATCTGATAATTATTTAAATAATTAGATATCTATCTTCCGTATATTCCGAAAAATCATTATGGAACCTTTTAAAAAATTAAATTAGTCAATAATTTGAAAAAAAATTTCCCTTTGCGATATTCCAACAGAATCCACTTACAATTAGTGTGACAACATTTTACCTGTCTATGGCAGACAAAGCAACTCTCTTAATTCCATTTTAATAAACTTTGCAATTGAAAATAGCAGTTTAATAACTATCGTACAACGGATACAACGTATCGTACAATCCATAAAAACCGGTGATAAATAAATAGGACTTTTGTTATTTTAATAGTATTTATGGTTTTTAGCTATAATCTTTTAGCTTTAGCTCAGTTAAAAATACAATTCAAAAATTTTATAATAGCCCATTATGGCCAGAAAATAATTTCTTTTCAAAGTTGAGCGGTAAGTGAAAGTTGTGTGTTGCGCACACCAATTTTTTTATGCATGAGTTATAAAATTTTATTTTTGTGTACAATTAATACACAATAAAATTTCTTACTCTCATCTATAGCCATGTATTGAACATAGCAAATAATCTATTAAAATTATTATGAGGTGCCGAAAACAAAGTTAAAATATGTTGACACCAAAAACGTCTGCTGACACATACGTTGACGGAGATTTAATAATGTAGAGGAGCCTTTTTCATTTTATTTCAGAATGTAATCAAAACGAATTGTCTTCCTTAGGTATTCTTGAACAATGTGAAGCATTAAATTAGGTAAATGCTGCAATACAATTTATTATGACAACATTTTTAATCCAATCAAAATTAAAAAAAAAAAATCATAAATAAAATTGTAAAACTGATCGTGATCATGATTTTGTAACTAGCTATGCAATAGTACAAACCGCGCAGTGTGTGTTAAAATACAACAAAATACTTAAACTTAGAGCTGTCAGAATGGTGAATGGTCTAAAATTAAAGAAAAAATTAAATTATTATGTAACAATCGTAAATATAATGCGTTGGTTTAAATCCTTCCTTTCAGATCGAACCTAGTATTTAGTTGTCACAGGTCAACCTCTTTAAGACATTTCCTCTCTCCTGTGGTATCCCTAAGAGTTCCTCCCAATCTCCTACTCTGTTTTCTATTTATATTAATGACCTTTCCCTCCTGATCCACCACTCCCAATACCATATTTATGCAGATGATTTCCAAATATATCTTTTCTTCCCCTCTTCTGACCTGTTAATAGCCACAAAAAACTTCAAGATGACTTAAATAGATTTTGTGACTGAGTAGAAGTTAACAATTTGAAGATGAATACGGAGAAGACAAGGGCGATTTTGATATGCTCAAATAACCTCATTAAAACTGCTACTAAAATCCTAATCCAGTTCCTACACGATATTCCCATCAAATCTTACCCCACCATTAAGAACCTTGGAATGAGCTTTGATCAGACCCTTTTATGGAAAAAAATGTTTATCCAATACGCCCTTTTCCATTTTTAAAACTTCTAAATTTCCGCCACCTATTTCCATTTGAAACCATTAAACTCTTGATCATTTTCTTGATATATCTACACTTTGACTGTTGCTGTACGATATATCTCTAGGGATCTTGAGACGAAACTAAAACGTTTGGTAAATTACTTTGTACAATTATCTTCGGAATCCCACGGGACACCTCTGTCTCCCGTTTTTATAAAGAGCTGAAGTGGCTTAATCCTTTTTACCGTCGTAAATAGTTACTTCTTATCCTCTCCCGCAAAACTCTTTCCGGGTCTTCAGATTTGTATACAAGAGCCCACTGAACCGCTGCTTTCGACAGATTTTTCATTATCCGATCCTTATCGCTATGGAATTCTATAACTCCCTGCATCCGCCTCTCCAATACACTCCCCATTTTTAAATTGCGTCTGTTCACTTACCTCTTGTCAATTCATTACCCATCAAATTGTAAATAGATGCTTTTGTAAATATGTATATAAATTATTAGTTCCTT